CCTTAAGGACTTTGCTCTTGCAATCATAATTTATCTCTTGAATTATTAGTTTTCTTTTTTATTACATTTTGTCCTTAGCATGCAGACATACTCTAGTATATTCCATCCTAAAGATTCCACACTTAATCTCATATCTTATATGTTGACTCTCACTTATAGAAATTATTTCCAAAGAGTTGTTTGTATTCACTCTCTTCAAATTGTATAACATTTTCTTTTTTCAACGTGTCCAGTGGTATATTAGTGCCCACTCTTCTGGTGAAATAGGTCTCATCAAAGTCATACAATGAACTTGTGTGCCACAAAATATAATAGATACTTTTTTGTTCTTGGCTTCCCCCCATTCTTAATAACTTCCAACATAATTGATCAGTCTTTCTTGAAATATTCTCTTGAATTTTAAGACAATCAGCTCTTCCTACTTGTCCATACTGATACCATCTTTTTCTATCTCCTCTGTTGACCATCCTCCCTTGCTCAAGCTATATGTCTTTTTGGCTCCTGGGCTTCATGTAGGCCAATTTTTTTTTTTTTTTTGTATCTATATTGAATCTCTGCCTAAGTACAACTATTCTATAGTAGACAATTTTATAAGTACTCTGAAAGAAGTATGAACAGTAGAGTAAGGATATTATCATAAGACAGATGTTTCTCGTGGCTCAACCGGTTAAGTAGTGACTTCAGCTCAGGTCATGATCTCGAGGTCCATGAGTGTGAGCCCCGGCTGGGCTCTGTGCTAACAGCTCAGAGCTTGGAGCCTGCTTCAGATTCTGTGTCTCCCTCTATCTCTGCCTCTCCCCAACTCAAGTTTTGTCTCTCTTCTGTCTCAAAAATAAATAAACATTAAAAAATAAATAAATAAATAAATAAATAAATAAATAAATAAATAAAGTAGATATTTCTCCAATTACTGCCTTCAAATATCAACTATTGAATATACTATAGTAGTGTCTAGAGAGCAGTGAACACACCTTTCCAGTCACTTTCAGCTATTTTACTATTCATCCAAATTAACTTTAAAATTGGATCTCAAATCCAATTTTATAATTGTTTTCTACCTGTCTTAAAACTTCTGGGGTGAAGGATATATCTAGTAGCACTTTAGTGGCTCTTAGGAAACATGGAATATGCCTAGCACCTATTATTTCAACTTTGGAACTTTGGTCATTTATCTGGACAGCAGGATAGGAAAGCATGGGGCATCTTGCTACACACTTATATCCAATGGCCTTCCTGACATTTCCTCTTGGCTTTATAATGGGGGTCAAAATAGAACTCTTAATTTCCCAGTCCCTCTCACAAACTTGTTTCTCTGTCAGTCTTTTATATCTCATTACATGTCACTATTATTTATGAAATTGGTTATGACGAAAACATAAGAGTTATCTTTGATTCTTCATTACCTTTCACCCACTGTTCCTCCAATCCAACAACAAGTCTGTCATCTTCATTTTTAATTATGTATCTCAAACTCATGTATGTTGTTTCGATCTCCAGGGTTACCAGAGTCCACAGCCCCATTTTTTATGCGACTGTTGCAATAGCCCACTAACTGGTCTCTCACTTCCATTCTTGTTCCTGGAATCCATTTACTGCATTCTAGGGAGAGTAATATCTTCAGTGTGAATCTAATTGCCACTCCCCTCTCATAAACTTCAATGGTTGCCTGTTACATTCTGAACAAAATGGAAACTCCTCACCATCCCCAAAAGACCTTCCGTGAGACAGTCTCACACGTCTTCTCTCTGTTGTTTGAAAATAAGGGAGTTTTAACTTGGAGCCATAGTACTTGCCAGCCTCTCCTTGCAGAGGAGACCATGTGTATTCATAGCAGTCTCCTTTGGTCTCTCTCTCTCTTAATGATTGGAATATTTTTCTAGTAGCAGGTTAAGACTAGTTAGAAAGGCTTAGATAAAGGTAAGATTTGGATAGACTTATTGATTCAAAACTCAACCCTAACTTTGACTCAGAAACACTGTAGGGAATGTCTTTAAGAGAAACTAATGGGGAGATACTTAATTCTCCTTTTTGTAACCAAGAAAAACATATTTCCTTAAATAACAAACTACAAGAATTGTTAGATTGTAGAAAATATTCCACTGATAGACTTCATCTTTCTTTAAATATTGATCCAGGTGAAAATCAATGTTTTTTTATTTGAAATTTGGTAGTTAAAAAGTCAAGCTTAGGATACAGTCTTTTAAGAGCTATAGAAAATCACAGAAGCCAATGTTTTACTAAGTTGGTAACTATAACTGGATAATAAGTTATATGTAACTATAACTGGATAGTATCCCAAAGTTATCGTGATAGAAGTTTAAACTGAAACTAAGACCCTGATCCCTTATTTCTCAGTCACTAGTTCATTTTCTGACACTTGATTTTGAAAGTTCAGGGGGTTTTTTGTTCGTTTGTTTTTTGTGTGTGTTTGTTTGGTTTTGTTTTTATAAAGTGACTACTTTAGGCTTTTTCTTCTAGATTTGTTTGATTACACTGAAAGAATCCTCTATTGGTACTCTGAAAACTGATCCAAAAGTTAAATTATGAATTATTGGAATAAACTTCAATGCTTTGGTAATTAGGTATGAAAGAATACATAGATGCAAATAATAAATACAAAATAAAAAATATTTATATACTTAAAAATTATCTCAGTCAGGTTTAAAGCTATCTTTCCCTTTTTTTCTCTCCTTTTATCCCTCTTACCAATGTCTCATGGATATTTTGATACTACCTGGAAAATATCATTACTTTTATCTTTATATTTCCATTTCCATAGTTACAATTCTAATTAAAACTCTCATTATTTTTTGCTTGAGCTATTTCTGTAATGTCCTAAGATTAACGTAACATAGGAGGTGATGTTTCTTCATTGTTTAAGATTGACTCTGCCATGCACATCTACTATAGCCTCCTTGGAGTTCTAGAAAATTGGTGCATTAATTTGTTCAGTTAATTAGCACATCCTAGTGAGCTCTATCCCTGAGATGGGCACTATACACATGGAGGTCAACTCACTATCCAGCCAAGTGACAGATATTAATATAGCTTAGGAGCTGCTAGAAATGTAACTCATAGAAATATGGCTTCATTGCTCTAAGAACCAGAATAAAAACAAATTCTTCCAAAAGTATTGAAGAAATTTCACTGAGAAGGTGACATTTTAGGTGGATCTCAAAGACGCAGGAGACACACCAGATTTAATGTTTGAAAGCTTCTCCTGAACTGAAAGTTTCAAGATGAGTCATTCAAAACTTGTTAGCAGTCTGAAAAGTTGTGAGGTTAGGATACTGGGAATGCAGGTTAATTGCGGAAAGTAAAGTGATGTGACTCTAAAACCTAACATGGCATACATAGCCAGAAGGCTTTTTATTTTCTGGCTGACTTAAGAGATGCCTTTATCTTTCTATATAATCTCCATTTGCATCCATCCAAAATCTATCTTTTTGGTCAAAAAAGATTGAAGAATGCCTGATGAAAAGTATCGGAGGAAAGTCTGGAAAAGAGGGAACAACAGATTATGGAGGCTTATATTTCTTTTTCTGAGATAATATAGGTTTCATTCTTTAAACAAGAGTTTCAAATAGCCAACTTTATGAAGGATGAGAAGGTCAACTTAGTGGAAAAGCTAAGGTTAACTGATGGAGACTGACAGTGAGAAATTTTGGGAGCTCATGGTTTTGCGAAGGTCTAAATTAAGGCAATGAAAAAGGAAAGATTAAAAGAAGCAAAATTCAAGAGTGATTTCTGAGGCCAGAGAAGATGTAAAATCTACAGACCTTGTCAACTGAATGAGGAAGCTGAATCTAAGATCAAAACAAGTTTTATAGATGATAAGCCCTTGGGTTAATAAGAAGAACATATTTAGAAAATAGTAACACAAGAAGTGAAAGAAAGTGATTTACTTGAAGACTGGGGGAAGGAGGTGGAGAACAGATACAGTTTTAGTCAAGTATAAACTAGATGTTTTTTATTAGGCAAGATTTAAAAACACCCCACCAGGAAATGTATTTTTTTGTTAAAAATAAATCTTTAAACATTATTAGAACTATTAATAATGCATGCAATATTTTGGACATTACTAAACATGAAATTCTAAGTTTCAGCCAAATTTAAATAAAATTATCAATCAAATTAGCTTTATTATTGTTCTAAACTTCTTGAAAATTATATCACTGGTTTATTAATTTTGTGAATTCATTCTTAGGAGTCCTACTTGTATTCTGAATTCATGTTTCTTCTGGAATATGCACATCAAGTAACTACGAAGATTCATTAGTGAATCTTCACTGATCAGTATGAGTTTGTAACTGTTCTCTGTTAAGAGAGTAAATTTCAGTTATTTGGACTAAATAACTTCAAGCTCAAAATGACCTTGGGGCTTGAAGCTATTTCTAAGTAATATCTTAAGTGACCCTTAAACTATGTTTAGTTTGTTCTGATTCAAGTTTGCTTGAGGTTGAAATACAGCAAAAATAGACATTTCTGTCTTTTTTTTTTCTTCCAATGTCAAATTAGAAGAAAACCTGTTAGAAGTCTAGGTATCTAGCTTATTTTAGAAGCATTCTCAGAATAATCCCTTACATCAAACTGTTATTTGATGATCATCTACTACTCTAAAAATGACTGAAAAGTCCATGCCTATGGAACTTACAAAACATCAAGGTAATTTCACCTTTTCCAAAGCTGTCTGTACAACTTTATGAAGTTCATCATTCTATCTTTGGGGAAAATATACAGTGGGACAAGCTGAAGAAATAAATCATTTGTAGTAACATTAACAGGCCATTCCTAACAATCACCAAAATTATTCTTAGATGTAGGCACTCGTGAATTTCTTTTAGCTATTATTTTGCACCACGGAATGAAGGGGTTACATACCAAATGCCTGAAAATCTCAACTCCAAGTACAATGTTGCTTGTGAGCCAGGACTTGCAGATAAATTCTGGCTGTTTGTTAAAATTAGCTCTAATCTAGCTCTGAATTTCCTTTCTTCCAGGTGTTCAACAGCATAATTATCTACTTTGCACAGAACTCCATGTTAACAACTTTAAGTATATGTGTATGTATATTTACATATATATATATAATTTATTCATTTATTAAATCATATATACATTTTAAAATCACGGTAAAAAAAGAGACTCCCATATAGAACAGAGAGACATAACAGCTATTCCTGAGAAGTTTATTATCTAGTAGTAGACAGAGGGTTAAAAAACACCAACATTGAATAGCTTAGAAGTGGTGGAAAGAAATGAAAAAGTGATCAAATTTGACACCACTCCCTCCCCCACAAAAAGTCCTTAGGAAGGACAGAGTAATCAGTTTGCTTAATTAAGAAACATTTTAAAAATTAAGAAAAAAGTCAAAGGTGATATTTTTTAAAGTAACATGCATTACTCTTACCTGGCTAAAATTTTATTCATTCTTTTTTTGCAGACAATGGAGAAAATATTAGAAAACAGAAATATAATCAAAAGTCATTTATAATACTACTAACTAAAGATAATAAGCACACATCCTTGTGTTTCTTTTCAGCTCTTGCTCCTACAATTATCTAATTCTACAAATTTACTGTCTTCATCTCTGACAGGATACTGTGGTATGCCATCCAGATGCCCTTAAGCCCTGAGGCATTCTTGCTTCTACTGTTGGGAGGGTTGGAACCACAGGCCCATAGCTGAGTGGCTCTTTCAGAGTCACCCTCAGCTGAAAATATGCCTGTAAGAATGAATCCCCTTTTCCAAATGCCTTGTAGTTGAACTCTTTCCTCAGCTCAGTTCTGCTTCATTTCCTTAAAGGTATTGATCCCAAGGGCACTCCTTACAAAGCTTCCTGCAAGCAAATATCTATCTCAGAATCTTGTTTTCCAGGAATCCCCATTGAAAACCCTATTCAAATGATTTTTTAATCAGTTTCCCCTCACGTGAAAATATGCATTACCAACTCAGCATTACTAATTGAAACTGATGTATAAAATATTTTCAGGGACTTCATGCTCTTTCATCCTATGAACATATTTACTTAACATTCCCTATTACTTAACAATTAAGAAAAAGAATTCAGAAGATACAAGAGAGTTGCAGGAAGGGAAGCATCAGACATGAAGTCTGGCAGGTTAATTGGCCAAGTGTAGGATAGAAATGCACATTTACCTTGACAAGAGAAGAGAGTCTAAAGAGCAAGAATGGTAAGGTAAGAAATGCAATTGACAATGGAGTCCTGAAAGCCACGGTAAAAAGTTAGAGTTAGAATCATGAAGGGTAAGAAGATTATTTGATTAAAAAAAAAAAAGCATTGGGGGAAAGTTATTCTAGAAGGTCCATGGGAATTAAGTACAGTGGAGAAAACCTGGAGGCAAGGAAGTGACTAGGTCTCTAGCTCTCTTCCTCAGGTGGAAGAGAGACCAGATGCCCGGGATAAAATGTTGGCTATTAAGTTGGAAAGGGAGGCCGAAGAAACATAATAGACACCTCCCCCCCCCCACCAAAATGTCAAGGCTTAGTGATGGATTGGATCTAGTGAGAAAAATAGAAAGGGAAAGGGAAAATGATGATAAAATATTTAGCCTGGGGGACGAGAGGAAGATGAAGCTTTTAATGGTTGGTAGTGAAATTCAGAAAGGGTGACTGTGGGTAGCAGAAGCTGATTAACTTACAATCCGATAGGTTAAATTCTTGGTGTAAGGATTTGCAAGGGAAGATAATGGGGGGGGGGGGGAGGACAAATATATGTTTTCTTATCTGTGTAAGATGTGCAAAAAACTCAAAAAATATTTAATTGTAGCAAAGTGGAAAACAAAGTCATGTCATAGCAACTGGTACATATAGGTATGCACAAGACTGGAGTTTGCTCAAAAAAGCAATCAGCATATTAACAGCAAGAAGTCATACCTATTTAAACAAATTGTGTGTGTGTGTGTGTGTGTGTGTGTGTGTACATATATCCTCTAATAATATAATTATACTTTCTTTTACAACCTTGAAAACTAAGTATAGAATATTACATTTCTTGGGACAATAAGCAGATCTCCTATTTATAGAGAAATAAGTATATTACTTAATCAATACTAAATTTTCTCACAATAATAAAAGCTTAGACAAATTTTATAACTGGACCAGTTTTGCCACATTTGGATGTAATTCATAACATATTGATATTAAATATAAGAAGCTAAGGATTATTAGATGAATGAAAAAGATAATTAAAGTTGTTTTGAAGAAATAGCTTAGAATGTTAAATTCTTGATACATTTCTCATTTTTAAACTATTTTGACAATAGAGCATAAGTGCTAATTGGTAATTTATTAATACAATCCACTTATCTCTGATCCTCATCCCAATTTGCCTACAGTCTATTCATTCTTTACCTCCATAGTGTTCTTGTATAATACATGCAGTTCTGGCCTTCCAGGCTGATGTTGGTTGCCTAAGAAGCTATTTGAGAGCCCTTTGTTTCTTCCCTTGCTTCAAAACCCCATTGAAATGAGGGTAACATTTAGGGGCCAGGAGCACAATCTTTCAATGGCTCAAAGCCACAGGTATGATGCCAAAGTTATACCAGTTTCCCTGCAGCCTTAGTGACTCTAAGGGATCTTACACTGTACAAAGAAATAGAAAAAAACCTTTCACAGGCTGCCTTACATTTTGCAATCTTGCTTCTTAAAGCCTCTCTTTACCCTCACAAAGTAATACCTATAAAAAAGCTTCCTTTTTTTTTTTTTCCCATAAGGCCCTGATGCAAGTTCATAATATCTAAAACAATTACTGTGGTATCCAGCCCATGATTTCCTCTCTGTTGCATGTACCTCTTAGCTCTTTCCTCCCCAATATCCTTAATACAAAGGATTCAGAGGGGTGACACCAGCAACATGGTTGAAGAAGACATGTATCCCCTTCTTTGTATCCCCACTCAGCAACAATTTGGCATCCATTCATGGACAAAGTGTCTTTGTGGGAGCTTTTGTTTTTTCCCCATCAAGTAATTTGCTTACCCTTCATTATTCTATATCTAGCCACTTTATTCTTACATGTAATAGAAGTTTGCAAAAGGATTACATGATGTCCAGGAAATTCAGGGGCCCATGAACTGGCTGCAGCAAGTTTCCTTGGATGTGATATTTATGACAATTCTTCTCAGTCTGCATACACATAGAGCTAATCCTCGGAGTAATCATACATACCCATGTATCAATTATTTGTTATGAACAGAAAGCCTAGATGGTCCAGGACACACCAAAAGTAAGAGAAAGAAGAACCCTTTTCTTCATGCCACCTGAGTGTCTTAACCTGTGACAGCCTTTAAGCTGTTTAGAACCAGGTTGGCCTTTGAAACTAATCTTCGGACACCTTTGAGACAAGTTGCCCTTTCTCCTCATTCCCTGTTATACATTTCTGCTAGTACTTGTGAATATGTTGCTTCCCCAAAGTTCCCTCTTGGGGAAGTAATCAGGAAAACTATAATTTCAGGAAGGAAATCACAAGGACAAGATACAAAGGAACGAAGGACAAGATACAAAGTGAGTTGTCTTTTTTTCTTTTTTGTTTCTTTTTTTTTTTCCTCCCTGAGGTCATAATTTGGACTATGAAGCTGGTTTTACCTGTTCATCATGTTATCAAGGAATCTTGGCTGAAAGATGCTCTTTAAAGACGTGGAGTGTTGGACTGGATGTCGAGACGTTTGTATTCGGGTTTCTTTGGTGCTACTGTTTGAAAATACAAAGACATCCTGACTTTGCCATATTTTTTTATTTTAATGTAGAATGAATGATCTCTGAGTCCTCTCAGAGAATATTGTGTGACTGAACTGGAACTTCCTTTCGAAATATTTAGAATTATCACTCAAAGTTGCATGCCTAAAATAGTTTTTTAATACAGCTATTTTTACTCTTTTATAGCTGCTGTGTTATTACACTTGTGGACACCAATAGCTGTTACTTTTTATTTTTTACTTGAAGTATAGTTGACACACAAACTCATCTTCATGTGATGCAGGAGGGTTTTGAGAAACACTGCTGGTAAGTGACCCTCTACCCCTGATTGGAAACTTCAGGACAGAAGACTTGCTGCTTCTTTAGGAAATGAATCTGTAGGGAACAAAAAAAGATATGCTTTACAAGTAAGGAGTTCACTGTTCTAGAAGACTGAAAATGAAAGTAGATAATTATAATATGTGGGGAAAAAAGAAAGTACTAAACAAATTCCTAACCTGCTTGTCAAAGGATCTAAATAAAATTTAAAAATTAACATCTGTACTTTCAAAATTAAAGCAACTCAAACTTGATGAAGAATACACTTTTTATTTAAATAAAACTAAACCACAGGGTAATTTTAAATAACAGGTTTTGCTACTTTATTTCAAAATGATTGCACGTAGAAATATTCAATGAATTCATAATTTCAAAAGACATTTCTATTCTGACAAGCAATAATAAATTAAAGATTTCAAATGTTACTTTGTATACGATGGGTTATCTAATAAACAGCTGATGACTTAACTCTGATAATGACTGGATGGTTAACAGTAATGATTTAAAAAGATATGATGATGTAAAATAATATTAATAATGTTTCATTTCTTTTTTCTATTATTCAAAAATCAGAGAATTATTATCATATGTAGCATCTTTCTTTGAAAATTATCAAAGTACAATAAAAGAAGTGTTTTTTAATTTATATTTTCGAATAATTTTTGATAATGCACATATGAGTAAATGTAACACAACTGCAAGTTGCGTAGAATAAACAGGAAAACTCCAGTGTCCAGTTATTACAAGATGGAAAATAGTCATTAATGAGTAATACAGAAGAATGAACAAAACCCATACTGTAATATTTGTAAATAGCTTTTAATTTACTTCATATATCAGTTTCTATGTTAACTCTATTAATGATATATTTATTTTTATATTGAGGACTTAATTTATCTCAAAACACCTATAGTCTGCCTTAAAATATCTTGCATTAAAAAAATCCCTTCCATTATAAGCAAGGGCTCATTCCTGACATAGATAAAGGTAGCTTTTGTATTTATCAGCCAGTCAGTTAAAAAAATCAAATAAGCAACTCAAAATGTGCAAAGAAAGTTTATTTTTACTGTAATCAATAACAAGAAGAAATTTAATTTCAAGCCTTTACCTGCATTCATCCAGCATCTTATATACCTTATTTCATATAATTCTCACAACATCTTTATAGGAAAACACACATTAATGGTCAGTGTTACAAAGAAAATAAATGAGTGGGGGCAAGATGAAACTTGCCCATAGTCCTGGAGTCCTGAGGATTCAAACCTACGTGTACATAATTCCACAGTCAGTGTGTCCAACTTCTGCCTATTGGCTGTCCATGCAATCCCACCTTCCTGCCAGAAGACTGCATCCTAAATCTCACCCGTGAGGTTTTTACGACTCTCCGGCCATATTTCCAGAGACGCCAGATCTGGATGAGCAGTGCATACCATCTAGCCTAATGGCATCATCTTACAATATAAAATAAAGTTTCTACAACAATGTGGCCAATATCTCCTCCATATCATTCCTCCTTACATCTCTGTTTTTTCTTTTCCAATGAACAGCATAACACTCTCCTTTGGATGGGGAGATAGCACCGATGCCATGTGTGAGGAAAACACCAATTTTCTTCCTCCTTAGGAAGGACTACCACAAGATATATCGCATCAATAGGTCTGAATAGATAACCTATTCCAGAACTGAAATACAGCTTATTTTTTACAGGCAAGACTACCTTCAGATTTGAGAGAGGTAAAAATATGTGATGAGAGTGTGGTGGTAACAAGAGAAAGAAAAATTGAAAAAGATTTGGTCTAACTTGCTTCCCCCTGTTTGCAGCTGCATTTATTAATTTTCAATAGTTACCATTATAACTGCTCTGGTGACAACAGTAATAACTTGTCTCACTGAAATCTTTAGGACAGAAAAGGTTGCTTTGCCAAACTAAGCAATTCTGCATTTCCCATAATGCAGGTTAACTCTCTAATAATTGGTATATCATCACCAGTTATGCTCCTTGAAGACACATATTTCAAAGTTCCTTTTCCACACCACATAGGAAATATCATTAATGCTTGAGACTGATATTTTTTCCAAATTACATTTTTCAGTTTTGTTTTCAAAAGAAAATGTGTATGGGGTGCCTGAGTGGATCAGTCAATTAAGCTTCCAACTCTTTATTTTGGCTCAGGTCATGATCTCACGGTTCATGTGATCAAACCCCACATAGGGCTCCACACTGAGAGCAAGGAGCCTGCTTGGGATTCTCTTTATCCCTCTCTCTCTCTCTGCCCCTCTTCCATGTGCACTCACACTCTCTCTCAAAAAAATAAAAATAAAATAAAGAAGATGTGTATATGTGTGTGTTTTCTTCATTTTCTCTTGCATGAATAGCAATTCCTAGCAGAGTAAGAGTAATATTTCAACAGTTTTGTTCGTTCTATATGAACGGAATCCAAGTAGTACATATATATATATTATATACATATGATATATATAGTATATATAGTTGTGTACAGCAACACATAGGTGTATATGTATAGTACGAAAACATATGTACATAGTATAGATACAGTATACATACACGGCTATATACAGTATGTATATGGTTACACATTAAGTGAAATATAATCACTCAACATGAGTGATTTGATGTATAATATTAGATATTTTGTAACTTAGAATTGATTTCAATCCAGCTTGCAGGGCACAGTGAATTGAGGAGAATTAATATGATACCTTGAAAAAGTCTTTTAATCCTTTCTTTTGAGAGGGGATGTGACATTTAGGTAAATTAGAAAGTAGAGGGTGCTGGTGCCTTTCATAAGATGTAAAACGCTTCACTTGGTACTAATGTACATAAAGCAATTAGTTACTTGTCATGATGGGTGTTCCCTAAGGCAGTGCACTTTCTCCATTAGTATTTATATCTACATGCTATTATATGTTGCGTAGCAATAAATAGATGAGACAGGCTCAGAGAATTACTCCAGTCATGTGCCATCAAGAAAAGAGATATTAGCAAACATTATTAGCATACAGGTGGAGTTGGATCATTTTGTTTCCAGTGGGATATTTATTTTTAAATGCTGGCTGAGAATGCAACATTTAAAACCGATTAACCCTTAGAGATGAAGTTATTTCTTTATCAATTAGTAAATATTTTTGGCTACTGATCATGATCATGACAGTTTTGTTAGAACTCATCTCCTCTCCCTACCCTTCCCCGAATACCCTGCCTGCTCAGCTTGAAAATTCAAAGGTTTCTTATGTTTGAAAAATATTACATATGTGAAGAGAAACTCATTTCAGGAATCTTACATATAAAGCCACATATGTCCTGTCACATCCTAGGCTTAGGGTATATAGCCAAAATGAAAACAAGCTTATGTTATTTTACGTCATTTCCCTCTAAATATATTCTCTCCCCCCCTTCTCTCCCTCCCTCTTTCTTTCCTTCCTTCCTTCTTTCTTTCTTTCTCTTTCTTTCTTTCTTTCTTTCTTTCTTTCTTTCTTTCTTTCTTTCTTTCTTTCTTTCTTTCTCTATCTCTCTTCCTCCACCCAAAGATCTTGAATATTCATGTCTTAAAATATAATCTATTTTCAATTTGGTTCTTTTCAAATATATGTTCTATTTAAAAAGCTATTAAGTTTTGATTCATCAGCTTTTCCAGTGAAATTATTAAAGCGTAATCGGCCGCATTCACCAGACTTGCAGAAAATATTTATGAGTGTCTCATCTATTCAAAGTGTTGAAAATTATCAGAGAGTCTGTCCTCTGGGCTAACTCCCATAGGGTTCATATTTTGTTTAGAGCTTGCCACACCGTATGACACTTGCCTCTATATGGGTTTCTCTCTCATAATTGTTCACAACACGTTTTCAGGCCAAATAGAACAAACTTGGTAATACGGAAACACTGAAATACGGAAGCCCTGAACCACGTTCTTATTGATATGTGTCTTAAGAATCTGAAAACATTTTTAGTTATCATTCATTTAAAAAGCATGGCTCTTTACCAAATAAGTTCTCATGCTCTGTTAGGGGGACATAGCTAAAATAACTGGTTAATCATTTTATAAATATCAGACTTATTTTTATAAATATATTTTTAAATATAAAAAAAATTTTATATTGAAATTGATTAGTAATATTACCATTTAAGTCAATTCATTGTTTTATCACCTACATAGAAATCTAAGTATTATGTGTAGAAGGAAATTTAAATAAAAGGTAAATATAAGTTATTTGACATAGAGAAGTTCTGGTTTTTAAAGGATTTATTGTGTCACCCCCTACCTACGATAATTTGGGGGTCAGTACATATCTGACATTTGGTAATCAAAAATTATCCCTGGCTTAAAGCATGCAACATTTCTCTAAATTATACATTCTAAACCTTGGAAATTAACTATCACAAGAATGAAATGAAAGTCACCTTTACTTATTATATTATTATGGCCACTTGGAGATAGTACATAGATTAAAGAAAATTGGATTCTAAAATATAAATATATAACTCCTAGCACAGAAAGACAAAGATGTTGCTGCATGTGCAGTGGTGCTTAAATTCTTCTTCTGTTCATGGTCCCTGCACAGTATTGCAGAGTCGGGGAAGTCAGTACACAGAGGAAACATGCAATGTCCTTGAATGATCTTTTCTATTGTGAATGTTGGGCAGGGAGAATTTAGCCTTGAGTATGTACTCAAGACAAAATCTATAGAGAATAAAAAAGACTGAATAGTCTGGAAATATTTCTAGATCAACATCCTTCAAAATAACTCACAGAGAAAAATTCTTGCCAGAGAGATTTAATACTGCACATGATGAGCCACTCAGGACAGGGGCTAAGGATTGTAAGCTTTCTCTCTAATTATAAAATCCTACACACTCTTGTTTTACCACTGTTTTCCAAATATTAATTATAAATTTGTGCTTCCAAGCACTGTATCGGCCTCAAGAAAAGTCTTATAAATTAGCTAATGTAACAGAGTTGATTAAATAGTGAATCACTACTATCTGCTGAATATATTGTTGCTGTTTTTTCCAAGTAATTCCACAAGCATACCAACTATATCTATCAATTTCAGGGTCAACTATGAAAATCCCAAGCCATTTTTTTCTGTATGTTAGGTTATTAAACAAATAATTTTCTACGTTAGCATAAAAAAGTCTATTCCAACCTGTATAAAATGTTGCCAAATCTTTTCATCTATGGCAACACAGTGAGATAAAAGTAAAAAACCTGTCCCAAATATTTTATTGAAATACTCTTCTAAAACTTTCTTTACAAAAGTAAAGGCATCAATTGAGTTATGGTTTTCTCCTGGAGGTTTTCATTGCCATTTTGTTTCAATGGAGGAGAAAAGTGAATTTGGAAATTGGCAAACATTCCATTTAACAGATTTTTATTAAGTAATTACTTGGAGAAAAATACAGTTAAGACTGGATATATAATTTGTGAGGTTCAGTGTGTAAAAGGAAAATGTAGGGACCTTTGTTCAAAATACAATAACTTCAAGATGGAGAAGGCAGGGCATTAAATCAAGCACAAGGCCCTACTAAATGTGGGGCCCAGTGAAACTGCACAGGTCATATGCTCATGAAGCTGGCCCAGCTGCTGCATGACAGGGAATACCGAAAGAGGAATACGACATTTCTACCTCACATAGAATTGAGGAAGGGCACAGGGAGGTTTATTGTGCTCTTACCTGGAATCTAACCCAAGTGGTTCCCTTTTTTCTTAAAGATTCAGGAAAGGCTTATAAAAGAATTAGTATCAGAACTGGATTCTGAAATGTATGCTGGCCTTAGCATGGGGAGAATAAGGAAATGAAATTATTTTAGACAAATGCATGTAACGAAGCAGAAACTTAGGGAAAGAAAAGAGCAAGGTGTGTTGGATATAGTGTGTGGGTCGAGTTCATGTAGAGTAGGCAGCAGTGATAAAATTATAGGTTAGGATCAAAATAAGGAATTGCATGAATACTAGGAGTGTGAGTTTGAATTTCACTTTGTAAGCAAATGGAAGTCTTTAAGTAACATGATCACAAACAGGCAGCAAGATGAAACGGGAGTAGAAGACGAGCAGGGATACAAGGGTGCAGTGTCTAATTAGTAAACCAGTTACACTAGCTATCAGGACCTGGATTAGGGAGACAGCTCCAGACACGGAAAACAAGGAAAACAAGCGATGGGGATAATAAACATCGCAATGAAGTACTGTTATACATGAGAGGCAGTGGAGGATTATTTAAATGACCATGAGTCTCACACAACTCAGCAAAAGAGAAGGAAAAGTGGGGTTCTTGGACAACTCAGAAGTCTTTTGCTGAAAAACTGGACAATTCTATTAATAAATTTAGAAGCAGGAAATGTACAATGTAATAAGAAGGGATTATTTGGCCATATACCAAAGGATAATAATTTTTAATGAGGATAATTATACTATCTGAGAGAATGATGGTTCCATCTGTGAGTAGGTCA